CGCATGGTAAAAGTCGTCGATTGCCACGGTCAAGCTTTCATTGACAGACGTGAACTTGAGTTTTTCTGCAACCGCGAATGCCGGCTGATCTTTGGTCAATGGAAAATTCCACAAGACTTTACGTGTTGCAAGATAAAGCTTACTAATTACAAAACTTGCTGACTTACAAATCCGAGTGGATGTGCGTTAAAGCTATGAATCCATCCTATACTTCGCACCCGACTTTCGCTGAGACTGGTAAAGGTGTTGAATGGGTGAAAGGTCTCCCTGCCGTGCTTGTCCAGACTATCGATCAATTTTACACCAACCTTCTGCGCGCAGAGTCCTAAAAAACAAAAGTTTATTTTATTTTTGGGCACAAATATAAAGTAAAACGTACAGTTAAGTTTAGTATCCCTACGAAGTATTGAGAAGCCATAAATTTACTGTCAACTATTGACGTAATTCCAACATATATTTAAAAGTTCATGTGGTGAATGATCTCTTACACGTTCTGCGTGTCACTTAACCTACTCAAGTCCCAACTTGCAAGACAGTAAAGCAAATTATGCGCCAGCAAATGCGCGTTCTCCAGTAAAAACCCGATTAGCTGACGTAGCAAAGTATTTCTCAGATCCACCATAAAGAAGCTTTACGCAGCTTGATCTATGATAAGTAACGCGTGATGATTGCCGGTGGCACGCAATAAAACAATCAAAACGCATCGGTAGTCATCTTAAAGGACTGTAAAATGACACGTCGGCGACGCTTACCAGTGATAAGTTCATGTGATCAAGCAAGAAGACGGGTAGCTGTCGGCAAGTCCTGCCCTGGTGTCCTTCAAGTGGGTCACGCTGAATTCCGGTGCCACTCGAGAGCCAATTAGTCTAGCTATACTTGCGTACGATCTACTGACGAAATTTTGAGAGGCATCGAGTGCATCCAGCTTTTTTTCTCTTCACCACATGGACTGCACAAGCGGGATGATCACTCACCCCTGGCGCTCGGAAATAAGATTAGACACCGTAGTTGAGTTTCTTGGAGCTGCGCGCGGCATTGTGCGCAAACGATTCTACGCATTTATTTAACTGGGCTTTGCATTCTTAGCATCTAGATATCAGCAACAGTATGTGGTTGAAGTTCAAGCCCACTCCCTAGTTAAGGGAGATCAAACAAAACACTGGGATAACTGTATACTTGACGATTTGATGTCCAGATATCTTACCGTTTTCACAATTCCCCAAAGAAGATGAAAAAGAAGGTACGAAAACATAGACGAATTATATTGAGACAGACGTTTCGGACACTCACTATTTTCCGTAGTCAGCATAGCAAAGTGATTGTTCCTGTTTAGCAGGACTGTTTTGGCCTTTCCACATGCCTGTTATTATATCCGCGTTCGCAGTTGTTTTAGAACCCTCTTCCAACGCATTTAGGCGTTTAGGTGTTGCACATAAGCCGGAGTAAGCCATTAGATAGCAGTCCATGAGGCCCAAAACCCGCTATAATCGACAGAACAATCAACTGTGGTCTACACCATACCATGCCAAAACTACGATGCCAGGTACATTGCCGAAACGGACAGACGCCTCGGCACAAGGTTGCATGAGTATCAACAGGTAATTAAACGCACGGATAAGCTGTCTATGGTCTATGAACACGCGCAGTAGAACAACTACGTTTTCGTCTATGGCAAAGCAAGGGTAATAGCCCGAGCCAACGACAATATGGCTACATTGCTGCTGGAACGTTGATCTTCGACTGGCACACTTAACAAAGCCATAGAACTTCACCCCGCTTACCGGGCGTTACGCACACGACTCGAGTCAGTTCGAAGAAGGCCGACAGGACGAAAAAGCAAACTCAAGCATGGACTACAACTGTAGTCAGAGGAAAATAGGGAAGGGTCCGGCTAGGAACCACGTGAACAGCGTGGAACACTACGTCACTACCGCGCCTATGAGACTGACATCGACGAACGCGAGCAAACAAAACTGATTAGTCCGTCGGTCGATGAGGGGCAGGCCAATCAGTACACCGAATTACGACTGCCGCAAAGGGTGCAAAGGTCATTTACCCACCGGCGGTCAACCTCACGGTCATTCAGCAGCGAACAGGTAGGTCAAAGTTCGTGCGTCGAGCACTGATATAATACCAGGCATGCGGCGAGGCAAACAGGAGCAATCATTTAGTTACTCTGACGATGGAACCGAGCGAGTATCCGAAAAGTCAATCCTAATAAAATTCGGCCCATATCTTCGTACCTTCTTGTTCATTTTATTTACGGATGATGAGCACGAGGGGATAACCATCACTTTTAATCTTGGTCGACAGCATTCTGTACAGCCAGGGCAAGCAAGATTTGTCAAAGTTAAAGAGTCGTACCTGACCTCAACCCTTGGTAGCCCTGTTTTCTGATCGGCTATAAAAACTGCTCTTTTTACACGCGAGAATAACTTGGCCAATTAAAAATTAGATTAGCAATCTAATGTCAGAGCAAATTGTGAATTCCGGTCTGAAGGTTGTTATATCGTAAGAGAACAGTGAAGAATGAGCCCAAAGTCACGTGTTCAAAGTTGTAAAACACTGTTTTGAGAAGAATGCATTAGTCATGCAATGCAGCGTGACTTACTCCGAATGACTGAAGATTTTGGGTGCAACGCAAAAAACAAAGTTGGTAGAATGATTTTGAAATACAAACGCTACATTTGCATAGAATGCGGCGTGCAACAACCATTTTCTCTTACAGCTAAACCAATATGTATGTAAACTCCTTCATGACATTGCGTGTTTCTTTTGGACGTATGCATAATGAGATAGGTCACCTAGTGTACCGGTAGCTGGATGCAAACTGAAGCGCAAGTTAGAGTTTAAAATGTACTCTACTGTAGCGAAATCGCTCAAAAATGTAATTACCTTCACCACGTTTTCCTGCTTCACCCAGCAGGTCAAAACAACCGGTGGCGAGTTTGAGCGCAGGGGTTAGCAAGGCACCCACACGAACCTCAGACGACCTGCCCCCCCCTCTCCCACAATCTATGTAACAGGATTCTAGAGGCACTGCTTACTGGGAATGGCTCGAAGGTCGAAGTGAGAAGGAGCCATAGTAGCTTGACTCTCGGAACTTATGTCAATGTTGGTGTTCTAAAAGCCAGATTGCAGAAGGAACCACAATAGTCTGACTCCAAATCCTCTAGGAACTCCAAAAAATCCCATTAGGACCGCCAGATTTCACCAACAGGCAGCTTTTGAATCCAACACTCTTATCGTTTCGCCATAGATTCAAGAGCAGTGGACTTTCGGTAGTTGAGAGTCCACTAATTTGCTGTGCGGATGGGTTCCACAATGCCGATATCATTTTTTTCTCACTGTTAGTGAACAGAGGATGGAATTGGGTGCAGTGGGTGA